GGAAGGGAAGGTTTGGGAAGGTTTGGGAAGGGAAGGTTTGGGAAGGGAAGGGAAGGGAACGGAACGGAATGGAACGGAAGGGAATGGAAGGTTTGGGAAGGGAAGGTTTGGGAAGGGAAGGGAAGGGAACGGAACGGAATGGAACGGAAGGGAATGGAAGGTTTGGGAAGGGAAGGTTTGGGAAGGGAAGGGAAAAAGAGTCAATCCAGGTGCTCCCACGGAAACCTAGGAATGCTGTGGGACATCTGGGAATGCTGCAGAACACCTAGGACCCCTGGGAACACTGCAGGGGCCCCGGGACACCTGGGAATGCTGCAGGAGCCCTGGAAATGCTGCGGGACCCCTGGGAATGCTGGAGGAGCCCTGGGACACCTGGGAATGCTGCAGGAGCCCTGGGAATGCTGAAGGGACCCCTGGGACACCTGGGAATGCTGCAGGAGCCCTGGGAATGCTGAGGGACCCCTGGGACCCCTGGGAATGCTGCAGGACCCCTGGGACCTGTGGGAATGCTGTGGGAGCCCTGGGAATGCTGCGGGATCCTTGGGAATGCCGCAGAACCCCTGGAATACACCCCCCAGCCCGGAGCAGTGTGTCCCTGTCCCATCCCAGCCATCCCACCTTCCCCCGGGATCTGATCCCCCCTGGGATGTGGGAATTCCCTCCTGGAGCATCCCGAACCCGGGAGGATCCCAAATCCCGGCCCCAGGGTGGGAGATCCATGGAAAAGCCCGGGAACTCACTGTAATCCGTCTCCTTCTCCGGGAGCAGCTGTTGGGGGGAAAAAATAGGGAATTAGAGGCACAAAATCCCGGCTGGGGGCGGGAAAAGAGGGAAGAGGCGTCAGCATTCCCTCCTGGAAATTCCGGGGGGGCTCCAGCCCGCCAGCATTTCCCAGGATTTATCATTTTTTCCCCAAAGTGAGGGGGAAAAAGGAGAAATATTTGTGTCCTGGGGGAGGGGGAAGGAAGGGGGAGCTCCAGGTGTTCCCAAAAAAAGGGGTGGAGTCAAATCCACGGGATTTTCCCGGGCTGGAATCACTCACCGGGGGGATGTTGTTGTTCATGAACACCGTGGGGTCCTGGGAGGGGGAGAAAATCTGTGAGAGACCGGGAAAAACGGGGAAAAGGGAATGGGGGAAAAGGGAATGGGGGGAAAAGGGAATGGGGGGAAAAGGGGGAAAAGGGAATGGGGGGAAAAGGGGAAGGGAAAAAAAAGGGAGGGAATAAGAGGGGGGGGAAATGGAGAAAAAAAAGAGGGAGAAAAAAAGAGGGAAAAAGAGGGAGGAAAACAGGGAGAAAAAAGGGAGGGAAAAAAAGAGGGAGAAAGGGGAAAAAAGAGAGAAAAAAGGGGAGAAAAAAAGGGGA